CGATCTAACCTCTTACATATGGTGCCATTTGGTGACAACACTATCAATTAGATGACACGAGTCATGTCCTTACTAGCGAGGGATCTTTTGAGATTATGTATTGATTATATGTGAGCTGAGATTATTTTTAAATTTATCACCCATAATAAAAAGTTAGAGAGTTGATGGATTTTACTTTAAGTTATTAGGAGTATATTTCACGTGTTTGACATATTTACACATTATATATATAGAGAGAATTTTAATATGTTTATCCCAATATGTCTCCAAAATTATTTATATCAGGATTTGGAAACATTTCAAAAGATAAAGTCCCTTGTCGTTGAGATTATCTTTCAATATGATCATTATCGTGGTGACATTGAAGTCACTTGAAGTAAATAAAATTTTAATATAAAATTTTGATTTGAAAATAAACCCCTATGGTTGAAATTTTCTTTCAATATAACCATCATCACAATATTAAGATAATTTATTTTATTATTTTACACCTGATCAACTGAAATGCCCACTTATATAGTAGAGTACCTATTAATATGAATAAGACATGATACAAATTTTAAGAATAATTGGCCTTTTTGATATTTGAGATTCTTAGAAGGATAGATTTACCCTTGAGAACACTGTGATGGTGGTGTAGGTAGAATTATACTGCTAGGCTTTCTATATAATAGAAAAAGAATTAAAGTCCTTAGGGACACTGCAACGTTGTCCATGCGATACTAGGACACTACGATATTGCCTTCTCTGCTTGGTAGAAGGCACTTAAGAGTGTTGCAACACTTAGATCTTGGGTTATAAGAAATTTCTAGAGCTAGAAAATCCTTGGGAGCATAGTGGCACTATGTAATATAGTTCTGTGATATTGGTGGTGCTATACACTTTTCATAGATTTTATATAAATATCTAAACCCACTCTCCTCCATCCCATACCATTTCTCATTTGGTTGGTAGAAGAGAAGAAGAATGGGGAGAATAAAAAGAAAAAGGAAAGGATAAGGATAGAGAGAGAGAAAAAGAAGTTTGAGGTTTTAGAGCTGGTTCCATTCGTCAAGTCAGTCATGAAAAGTATTCCTCTCCAACTAAGTGATCATTACCCTACGTCTATTTTTAGTGATTTTGACTTTTGTTGTGATTAATTTGATAAAAAAATGGAATATATATATATATATATATATAT